TGCCATTGGCTCTTCTCCAGCTCCTGAATACCACAGTATGAGGAGGGATGGGACCAAGTCCTGGGGGTTCCAACATTTAGGAGTCAGGCAGAGCCCAGCAGGAGGATGGGGAAGAAATGGCTCACTTGACAATAGAAAACCAGGTTCAGTGTCACAGTGCCAAGAACAACTTTTTCAAAAGGAAATGGCTGGCAAACTGTAAAGAGCCGCCTAGTAAACAGTTTTCAGCCTTGCAGGACATGTGTCTCTAACTGTGACAACTCAAATCTGCCCTCATCTTACAACCATGGCCACGGAAGATATGGAAATGAATAGCATGGGACTGTAAAATTCTACAAAACAAGCATCAGCCAGGTTCAGTTTGGTAACTGGTGTTGCCTAGCTGGACCCTCAACTGGATGTCCCATATGCGTATGATCATCTAGAATGACACATCCATGAACCTGCCTTTGCTGTCACGGTCCCCTCTGACTAACCTCTGCTATATGTCTAATGAAAGTTCTGATTCCTTTTTCTCTCCCTCTTCCTTTCTCTCTCCCTCTTCCTTTCTCTAGGAGGACAGTCATCCAAACAACCTATCCAGAAGCCCGGAGCACCCCTGCTTCCCTCCGTCTTCCATGTCCAGTGTCACTGCAACCCTGTCCATCTGCCTCACCAGCTTCCTCTGCTACGATCCCACCCCAGGCAGCTAGGAGGGTCTTTCTGAAAGATCAGACCACCTTCCTTCTTGCTTTGACATCCTCATCCTGGTGGCTTCCCTTTGCCACCAGGATGATGTCCAATTCCTTTGCCCTACCCACCATCTTACATTTCTCTCTCCTTGCAAACTCCCTAGGTCATGGCCACCTTTTTCCAAGTTCAAATACATCCTGTGTTCTCCCATCTTGAGGGTTTTGTACTTATTCCCTTTGCTTCTTTGCATTTTTGTTGGAGGCAAGTTGAGAACCCAATTCCTAAATCCAGGAGTTTTCTGTTGTTATATGTTGATCAACTTTGACTGAGCTTCAAACCTAGACCCTATCACCCATGTACAGAACTGGAGCATCATCACATCTTTTGGTGGTCCCTTTGTGGGACCTCTTAGTCATCAATGTTTGCAGGATGATGAGCTTTGAAAAAATTTTAATGGACCTCTGTTAATACCCCCAAAAGAAAGATCAGTGCTACTGGTCCCTAAGGACAACTTTGGGTCAGTCTTTTACCAAAATGAACCTCTGTCCTAGACCCCTACTATCATAAGGGACTAGGGAGCAGCCACATGATATGGCATTACTTAGGAACTACTTCCCCAATTTCCCAACCCTGAGAATTGGTCACCTAGCTAGGTCTTCTCCTTTGAAGACACTCACTGGTATGGCTGACGAAACCAGGGCTAACAGATGTGGAATGGCATTGCTCGCAATCACGACATCTCTGAATTCTGAGCCATCACCTACAAATAGATCAGAAGATGACATTCAAAGAGAGAACAAAGTGGGTGATACGCTTTTAAAAAGTTTATGCAAAGACGAGACACGAAAACACATTCTTGGGGGTTTGGCAAGTAGGTAGTATAGTCATGGACTAGATCTGAGGTCACCAAGGTATCCACTGGGTGAACATTCATGATATGACAAGCAGGCACCACACAGTACCGCTTGCTAAAAGAGGAGGCTGTGGACACAAAGGAGAGAGCCAGCCTGGTCCAGGAGGCACACGGTAAGTGCTAGCAGCCTTTCATAGTGCTATTCTCAGGAAGATTGAAGCTAATGCAGACCCAGAAGATACAGGTAGCGGGGGCAGAAACTTACAAATGCAATTCAGAACAAAATCTGGGAATCGATAGAGGCTGGCAATCAGCCATCTGCATCTCTGAGTAGTGTCCCTAGGAGTCTTACCATTGAGGCAAGGCAGAAGTCACATTATACCACCCAGGCTGGCCTGTACTTGACAAGACCCAGAAAAATGAGAAACAC